TAGTTTTAAAAAGGATTTTTTGACAAAAGTATAATACAAAATAGATTCCATACATACCTTGAAAAGTATCACCATGAGCACGACGGATATGAGAAGAAACGAGAACTGTTTTATAAACCAAGCGAGCCAGTGTAGCCATGACGGTAGACCCATTATTGTCATGGTTTCCTAAAAAAATCAAATTATCTCAGTATCTTGAATGCTTTATTCATATTATAATAACGGCTGAATTTGAACCCCATGTGGAGCCGAGGGCGCGATGCTTATTAGACATCTTCAAATATACTTTTTTTAGTAAAAAACTTTACAATTCGATATTTAAAATATTAAAAGCTAAACTATCCTCCTATATAATCCATTGAAATGTTACAATTTGAGGGCCAAACTGAACAAAAAATTTCGTAAATTTGTGTAAAAAAACGAGAGATCATAGAGGTAAAGTAAACATGTTGTTTTGAACGGCTTGTCATGAGGATTGCCGAACCCGGTCAACTTTGGAGCGCTGTAACAGCGTTTCCAATTAACGAAATTTAACAAAATTTGTTCTGACATATTTTTTTGATAAAATCAAAAGAAAAAAGTTATTAAGCAAAATAGGAAATTTTTTCACTTTTTTACTTATAACTTTTTGAATTTTGGATTTATGATAAAAAGTCACACATACATAATTGTAGGAAAAGCGATTTGCTACAAAATATGTACTGACAAATTTTTTGTACGATGGATAGTTTAGGAGATATAGCCAAAAACGTGTTTTCACCCCTTTTTCCAAGATTGCGGCCGGGGGACAAAGGCGCCAACCCCACAAACTTGGGTTTAAGCTTGTATTGACCCCCCCACTACATGTCCCATAAAAAAAATTGCGCCCTCTATCAAATGTTCAGCCCATGTAACATTTCAATGAACTAATACACGGGTCGAATGAGTCATTTTTTATTACATAATGATTAGAAACAATTAGGTAGTTGGACCAAGGCGTAATATGAACATCAATTGTAGTAATTAAAAATACTGATGTTTATTAACGTTATCGAATGCTATTTCCCATTCCTGTCGATAAAAAACGCGAACACAAATGAGCAATGACATTTTACTATTGAGATTATAATATTCTATCTTTATATATATAATTTTTCTGTGAGTGTGTATGTCACTGAACTTCTCTCAAACGACTGGACCGATTTTGATGAAATTTTTTGTGTGTGTTCAAGGGGATCTGGGAATGGTTTAGATTCACAAATCAGCGCGACAGATGGCACTGCAGTCGGTACTTTCATACTTTGCTTAATATCCTAATCGCTTTAAATATCATGCAGGACAACGTCTGTGGGGTCCACTAGTAATAATATAAAAAGTATACCAAGTCTATAACTTTTACATACTCACTATACGTATATGGTTTGTACACATTTGTTGCTCATGAGCAAATATATTTTTCTATTGAGACTATGCATATTTAATATTAATTATTGCAAATAAAAAGTAAATCAAGTATATAATATATGTTGATATTCAGTAGAGATAATGAAGATTTACGTTCAACCAACCTTCAGCTGCAATTCCTTTTCCGCCGTCACTACTCTTACAGTATTAACAAAAGTGTATGCAAAACAGAGCATAATTATCATAGATATAAATCTCTCCATCGCCACCAATAGATCGTCCTTCCTATACGAATTCTGTGGGAACCTTTGTAAGTATATTTTTGTATTTATCGGTTTCCCAGATTTTTGTTTAATTATTTCTTGGGAAATTGCATGTTGGACTGCTAAGAACATTTCTGGTGAGTAGCCTGTGGATGTTTTTAGAATTTAGTTCCTATTTACAAATATACCTACAGTTTTGATTACCACCATAAAATCGAGTGCTACTACAGCGACCAATCAATTTGATTTCAAAAACTTAAAACTATTTGTTTCGTAGTAATTAATTACGCTGATAGGCCCATGTTCAACAGTGTATTATAGATTGAATAACTTAGTAAATTATTTTTATTGTTCGATTACCGTAAACTAAATTGTATGTGAGGTGTCAAAAATTGCTATACTGTGTATTATACCCATGACTTTATTGAATACTTTATAAGAATCTTGGAAAAATATCATGTTTTGTTGTAACACAAGGTAGGTTCGACTCCGGCTAATACAATATTTGTGTCGGGTCGGTAGGCATAGACACCGAATCACTCGCCCATTACCAATAGCAATAAAAAAGACGCAGGGTCATATCTGTACCACGCCACATTGGCGGTGCTTTTAAATTTTAAACATACGCACGGCGCTTTTGACTATATAATAAAAATATAGATTTTATAGTCAAGTGTGCAGTGTGAAGTGGCTTCATATACAAATCGCCGAAATTTAGAAGTGTTTGAATATATAAATTACTTAAGAAAACATATTTCGAATATATAAGATAGGATAATGTCGGTAATGTTACGTAATTTTTAAGGTCACATTTTTACCTGGTGTTTGCCCTCCATATATGTCTCCTGGAGCTCTGGGTCCTGGCAGTGGAAACAAAGGAAACAGTAGGTTTGTTCTCCAACTCAACCTAAGAGGGTGGTCATACATAGGTGTTCTCATTACAGCTGGAAATCTTAGTGTTAGATCAATATGGTCCGGCCATTTTGTGGCATCTAGAATTTGAATATGTCATTCAATAATACTTTCTAAGTAACAAATATTTATAAATTGTTACTAAAATGTTAGAAAAAATATGAATATGGAAGAAGTTCTAAATTCACATAGTATCAGTTCAGACATTATTAAGCTTAAGGTAAGCTATTAGTGTTCTATCCAAAGCCAAACTGTATCTTGTTTGTGGAAACTTATGGAAAGATTTGTACCTTGTTATCAACATCTAAAAATATTTTAAGCTATTTGTTAATTCAATAGTAGTGTATTGGAACAATATAGTTAGATTAAAAAAAATATATTAATTTTTTATATGTGTAATTATCTTGCTGTAAAATACAACTTTAGGTATAAAAACCCTTTGTCCTTTGCTATAAGGCTAAATGACTTGTTAGCAATCTTTATAAGGTTAATACCTAACATGAATCACATCACCTAAGATCAGGCCATGTTAAAACCTACTACAATGTAGCAATAATTCAGACATCAGCCAAAGCAAAAACAGGTTTTACAAGATTGTATAACTACTAAACAAAGATATTGAAATGTATGAAGGAAGAATAAACATAATTAATTAGATTAAATTGAAATATTCTTTACTGATATAGAATTATAAATTTAAGAGAAACTTTTGTGTTTTGGTCATAATTTTGCACTTAAAATAGTTATTATAATAATAGTGTTAAAAATGAACAAAGTGAGGTTTATTTACTTACTAGCCATATTATCGTTAAACTGGATTCCAACAAGAATTTTATTCATAGCATTAGGTTGGGTTAGGGCTTTTTCTAACTCTTGAGCATCCTTAAAACCTTTAGGCTCTGGTAGCATTCCAGTATCAAAAAATAAAGCCAGAAATCCTAAGTTATCTAATGCAACTGTTGCCATTGCATTCTTAGTTACGTTTCGTATTAATGGATTCTCTGGTGAAAACGCAAGAGTTCCTTCTCGTTTTGCCGATGTTAGATTTCCCCTACAAATAATATATAATTCATAATATATAATTCTGTTGAACACAGCATGTAATAATTGCAAAGAAAGAACTTACATGTGTCTGCTGCTCATATTAAAATACGTTGGTAGAAATGGTTGGTATGATTCAGCTGGTTTCGATTGCGGATCAACGAGGCATCGTATTAAAATTAAAAATAACGAAAACACCACTGGCGACGCAATTTCAAAGACAGTCTGCCATTTATGCCTTCTTTGCAAAAGAAAATTTTTCCAAATCAGCAGCTTGAGTTTCTCATACTTCGACATTGTTGTTAGCAAAAAAATGTAGACGATTATTAATAAAAATAACCCGATCAATATTCACCCATATTCAAATAGGAGTACAATTAAAATTATTGGGGTGAAGTATAGGTCATACGTTTAAGTTTCATTAAATTCACAACTCCATTCATTATTACATAGAATACAAGCTAGTCGTCCAAAAATATGAAATCTGATTATTTAAGAATTATCATACAGTTTAGAGTTCCATTACTACAATTTTTAATAATTCGTAACAGTATTTACACAAAATAAATTAACGTAATTGGAAATACTTTCACTGTTATTGTAGTAATAATCAATACTGTCGATTAATTATCACTAAGCACTTGAAAAAATATTAATTACGAATAATTCCGACATCGTACATAACTCGTAACACTAAACCGTAAGTGGCAGCTCGCTAATATCAAGTTTGCAATTAAAAAAAACTGCGGGAACAACAGTTTGACACTCAGACATAACGAGTGTCAGTCACTGACACTTGACAGACATGGCCAAAGAAAATATATAACTGGAACAACCTACAAAAAATTTATAAATAGAATTAAGCATAGATAATATGAAAAGATATGCAGTTTTATGCCGTACAAGACCAAGAATAGAAATAAAAAAAATAATTCAACACAGTAATGTTATTTTGTGATAGGATAAGATTAATTATTACAATTAGATCATTTTGTCGTTGCCACCAATGGTTGCATGTTTTGTTTTGATTTCCTTCTATTACTTTTCTCTTTGTTCTCTTTGATTTATATTATACTTTACAGTTTTGATTAATAATAAAATCCCCTTAAGTTCTACTGTGACGATAAAAAGTTTGGAGAAAACTAGTCACGCCGGAACTAAAACTTTATTGTAATCATACAATAAAGTTTTAGTTCAAGGATCACCTTGACGCGTATAATGGCAACTACGCAGTCTTGATATTACTTGACTAGTTCTGTCGAAATACTTTAGCTTGGCACCAGAGTGAATTAAAAAGTAATCATGTACCTACCTAGTTAATTAATGTTTTTATCTTTCGTAATTTATAAAGATCATCTAATTGTTAACTAAATGTAAATTTTAGAAGATTTATATTTTAATATGTCTGTTAGTAACTTATCAACAGTGTTAAAATCATGTTCAGAAAGTGAATTGATAAGTGAAGTCTCCGAATCCAATATGACATCAAAACAGGTGGAAGGATCCCGACTTAAACGTACCTTTACCTTGCCTCGCAATCCATTTGGTACTACAAAACCGAGCTCTAGTAAAAATAAAAGCAACGATACTGACAATAAGCCCTCCAGTGCAAATCCTTTGGCCACAACTAATAAAGAAGAGGGTGGCTTAGAAAGGAAGTTATTCAGAAGGCCATCATGGAAGATATTTTTAAACAAAATAGCTCAGCATATGAGTACTGTAAATACTACTGTTGTACGTAGTGTATTTGATATATATTATGGTTCATGAATAGTGTAAGATATATAATTATAAGGCTTTTTTTATGTGTGTAGGTAAAATCTGGTCAAGTGGTTAACAGTGACAGAGTGCCATGCAGTGGAGAGCCGCCCTGGCCGCCTGGTACTACTCCTGCAGCTACTGGAATAAAAAACCATGGCAACACTTGTTACATGAATGCAGTTCTTCAGTGTCTCTCGCACACAGATGTCATAGCAGAATATTTTGTACTTGACTTTTATAAGGTAAGTTGTAAGGATGTTATGGTATGTTAAAAATAAGTTGTAATTGTGGTAATATTATATATCTATTGATTACTTTAGTGCCATGTTATTTGTTAATAAGATCAAAATATTTTATTATGATGATCAAATTAAAGTTTGTGTTAAGTTGCACAATGATTTCATAGCATAGTATATCACAAATAAATGGCATAAGACCATAACTATGTAACTGAAATGGTTGAAAACATAAGGTATCACTCACCTAGTCTTTCTTGAGTTATTTGAGCTTTGAATTTTATAAGAGGTTTTATAAGTTGAGAAGTAATTAAGTATTTAACCATAGCAAATATGCCTTGTTGAGTACTAAAGAGCATGAGCACACTCCAGCGCGTATGTGCCAAAATTGCCAGGAGTGTACTAGCGCCCCCAATATTATAACTTGGCATTTTTAGGTATAGATGAGTAAAAACCAATGGCACTTAAACAGTTACCATACATTATAATATGTTGTGGTGGTGACCTTGTGAGCAATTTAAATCAAGGTTTAAATATATTATATCTAAATTAAACTTCCTTCCTTTGTTATGAACTATGCTGTATTGTCAATATACAGTACAAAAGATATTACTATTAAAACTTATTTAAAAAAAAATTCTTAGTATTTTATAATTTCAAATTCCTTAGTCAAAATTAATGTTGTGAGCGAATCTAATTTAAAAACTAAATGTTCTGAAAAAACTGTTGGAGTTGTATTCTATTAAAGCATCACCTTGATTACTTGCTTTTAAAGAAAATTGTTAAGAAAATTTATTGCTTCCAGATTTCTGAGTGCTGTTTAAAAAAAAATCTCTAACAGGCATATTAATTTACTTGGGTATACTTTATTTGAGAATGGGAAATACCATTATTAAGTTAAATTTTAATAATAATTTTACAGGTTGATTTGCAAAAGAGGAATAAAATTAACTCGAAAAAGTATGGTACTCGTGGAGAGGTGACTGAGCAATTAGCAGCGTTGCTTAAGGCATTGTGGTCTTGTCATTATATACCTGACATGAGTGTAGCATTTAAGGTATGTATTAAATTATAATAATATTTTTTTACAACAATGACTTGCATTACATAAATTCTCAGTATTAATTTTGTTTTCTATTTTATATTTTTAAATATACTTTGAAGAAGAATAATTAAAAAGACTCATATGTATCTAGAACAGTAAGCTGTATAATTAGGATAACTAGTTGTTTTTATGGAACATTTTTATTTAACATTTGGGGATTTACAGTATAATAAGAAAAATAATAATCATTCACTTTTATACTAATTGTTGATTAGTATTAAATGTCTTTCAAAAGTGTTTGAAAACTGTGTGTGTAATGCGAAACTATAATCTCATATTACTCATTATATTTTGATTTGGGTAACCACTATGGATGATAAGATTATAATCCTTTGACCATTCTCAAATAACAAACATATTACTTTTAACATATATCCATAATTTTCCAGGCTGCTGTTGAAAGACACGGTACTCAATATCGAGGAAATAGTCAACATGATGCGCAAGAATTTCTCTTTTGGCTCCTTGATAAAGTTCACGAAGACTTGAATACAGCAACCAAGAAAAAATATAAGACTATCAAAGTAAGTTGCAAAAGTTGTGTCAACCCCACAGCTCAACGGCAAGAGATATAGGAAAGCATCTGAGATTTCAAAGGAAACAAAATGTATAAATGATTAATATTAATTAGCAATTGTGTGTAAATGAATTAAAATAATATTTTATATAACAGAAACACTCTCATACATGTAAGTTTATTGCGGGATAAATGTAGTCTTACCATTTCCTGGTTTCTATAGCAAAATTCATCATAAAAATTCCTGCATGTCGGTAAAAGTTTGTATTTATAATTTTACTTTACTAGTGATAAGAAGATCTTATCTTCTAGAGATGATAATAAAATTATCAGCAAAAAGAGTTTATAGGATTGTCTGCTCATGCACTACCTCTGGGATATGTAACTTCATGTTCAAAAAAATGTACACTTCTGAACATTAGTATAAAAAAAACCATGCAAGTTTTCAATTTAAATTTACTACCACTTACCAAATCAAGGACGTAGAGCTGGTAAGAAGAACTATCAAGAACGCGCCTTTTGATCTCTAAGTTTTTGGTTTATAAATAAAAAAGGGCAACTCTACATTTGTCTAATGAACAATTCGTTAATTTAATCGAAATATTTCTTATATTTTCTCTTGTATTCCTAATTTGAAGCTTATGTGTCTGTAATAAATATGATTTTAGAATACGGTGGGGAAGTCAGATGAGGTAGTGGCAGCGGAAACGTTGGCTAATCACGCACGTCGGAACAGTTCCTTTGTACAAGCAGTTTTCCAAGCCCAGTACAGGTAATATTCGCTTTTATAGTTTGTATACTGAATTTTATTAATAATAAATAAACACATTGTTGCTATTTAAACGGATGTTCCCGACATCCCATTTTTACGTACGACTACGAGGTGTGACTATGATACGCTTTCATCTTTTGTATCACTTAAACAATATCAACAAATAAAGAGCAATACTTTAAAAAAAAAAACATTAGTTTCGTTAAAACATTACTTTTTTTTAGACTATAAATACACAAGTATATAAGTCCGATTTTAAGTCGTTTAATAGGTAAAGCTGTATGGTACTAATAAAGTTTAAAAATATAGACATAGATTATCAATTTACAAATTTTGATTAAGGTAAACGGTACTACGATATGTCCGAATTGCGGCATTATAGAGGCTTTTAGAAACGTTACAAATAAAAATGGGAAAGCTATTAGTCACGTGACTGCTTCAATACAAATCCAATTCAGCTCGTATTCTGCAAAACAAGTTCTGTCTAGGGCTCATCGTTATTTTTAAGCTATTGCATAGATTTTATCGCGGGCTTTGAGCGCGGCGACCGAATCAAGAAATTCCGTAACGAAAAAACCTAACACACGATGACGTAATATAGGTGCGGCCAATACGCGTTAGAGCGGGACAGAACGCATACTGTGTATTCACATCTCTCTGACGAGATCGGTGTAGCCGGTGCGCGTTAGAGTGAGACAGACTATATAGGCGAGTTAGTTTGAGTCTGGTAGAGTGGTAGATTGAATTAATTTATCAAAGAAAAAACTTGAATTAATATTAGGTCCTTACATATGAAATTGGCGTTTTACGTTTTGGCCACTTTGACCATAAATATCTCCTCTTTGGTTAAGAATTCCAAATTAAAATTTGTACAGCTATTTACTCATGTATTTGTGCTTCGATGACCGACATTCATTTGTTTTTTTCTGTTTGCGTCACTCATTTTACCAAATGGAAAACTTAAAGTATCGCATTATTTACGAGTACGAGTTCCGCCGTGGCACTAGTGCTGCGGAAACGACTCGAAGGGTGAATGATGTGTATGGCGGTCATGTTGCAAAAGAAAACACAGTTCGTTTTTGGTTCCAACGTTTTCGTCCTGCAAAACAAGCCCCGTGGACGGCCTGAGACCCAAGTTGATGATGAAGTATTGAAGGCTATTGTGGAAGCGGATCCATCGCAAACCACGTCCGAGTTAGCTGCAGGCTGCGGTGTTAGCGATAAAACTGTTTTAATTCACTTGAAGCAAATTGGGAAGATTAAAAAGCTTGAAAGATGGGTACCTCACGAATTGACTGAAGCAAACCGGCAAACGCGCGTCGACTGCTATTGTAAGCTATAGTATTTTAAACCGAATCATTACCTATGATGAAAAATGGATTCTTTACGATAACCGGAAGCGCTCAGCACAATGGTTGGATCCTGGCCAGCCAGCCAAATCCTGCCCTAAGCGAAAATTAACCCCAAAAAAGTTACTTGTAAGCGTTTGGTGGACTAGTGCCGGTATTGTTCATTGCAGTTTTCTCAAATCTGGCCAGACTATTACGGCTGATGTCTATTGTCAGCAATTGCAAACCATGATGGAAAAGCTAGCGGCTAAACAACCTAGGCTGGTCAATCGCTCCACGCCACTGCTACTTCACGACAACGCTAGACCACACACTGCACAACAGACGGCTACCAAATTAGAAGAGCTTCAATTGGAATGTCTAAGACATCCTCCGTACTCCCCGGACCTTGCTCCAACAGATTACCATTTTATTCGAACTATGGACAACTTCTTGCAAGGCAAAAAAATTTAACTTTGATGGGGCAGTCCAAATCGCCTTCACAGATTTTATTGATTCCCGTCCGACTGTTTTTTTTAGTAAAGGGATCAATGAACTACCTATGAGATGGCAAAAGTGCATAGAAAACAATGGTTCATACTTTGATTAATTAAATATATTATATTTAAAAATATTCGACTTTTTGTTCCTCCCATATAAAACGCCAATTTCATATGTAAGGACCTAATATCAAGGAAAAAAAATACTGCATAAATAAATAATTATAATTGCATAAGTAAAAAAAATATGCAATAGCTTTACCGCGGCAGTCCCCGAGTGCCACACGTTTTTTTTTAAATATGGCAATAGTTTTCATCGTTATTTACTTTATCAAAATAATTTCAGGTCGGCATTGACATGTGCGAAATGCGAGCGAACTTCATGCACATTCGATCCGTTTCACTGCGTCAGTGTACAACTTCCGACGCGACCCGTCACCGTACAGCCCTCACCTCTGCCTGTTAATGTACGTATTTTATAAAACTAAACTGTGTCAATAAATGTTTCTTTGTAACAAGGCCTAATGTTCTTATACAAACTGTTAGTTAAATACAGAGTATTAACATTCGTTCCTTATTCATTCCCAAGGTTCAAAATCAACAGAATTTTTCAAATTTTGCCTGTAACCTAGGAATTCAGACGCTCTTATTTTAATTTTTGGCGTATACAATGAACGCTACTTATAGAATTTGATATATTCGGTTGTGGGCTGATCAATAAAAAAAAAATAGGCACCTATATAAGCCGCAGTAGACAAATGAGTATTTGATAATGTGGAAAGTAAATTTTATGTTTTCCATAATTATCATATATTTTAGAATATACTGTAACATGTATAGTAAAGTATATGTAGTAAATGTACATTTACTACATATACTTTACAAAAATATAATATTTTAAATATTGAGCAGTGTTGGCCTAGTGGCTTCAGCGTGCGACTCTCATCCCTGAGGTCGTAGGTGCGATCCCCGGCTGTGCACCAATGGACTTTCTGTCTATGTGCGCAGCTAACATTAGCTCGAACGGTGAAGGAAAACATCGTGAGGAAACCGGCTTGCCTTAGACCCAAAAAGTCGCCGGCGTGTCTCAGGCACAGGAGGCTGATCACCTACTTGCCTATTAGATTGACAAATGATCATGAAACAGATACAGAAAACTGAAGAAAAGTTGTAGCGCCACTGATTTATTTTTCATTATTAAATGTACTTCAATAAATAAAATTTCGATTTATTCCGTTCATAATTTATTTTTCTTCGCTATCTGCCTTTTTAAAAATATTTTTTTGACTTCAACAGGTTGTTTATGTGAATCAACAACCAAGGCAAGTGCGTATCGGAGTAGAACTTGCGCCCACCGCTACAATGGACGAGTTAAGAACTTCGTTACACGGGGACACCGGTATTGACAGAGACCACATCATACTGGCTGAGATTAATGAGACTGGTAAGGCATTTTACCCGGTAATTGGGGCATGGGACAGATTTTTGAGATACTTCTGTAAGAAAATTAAAAAATTAAAGCATTATTCAATCAAAAACAATGCTTTAAAACAATTTTTTAATTATTAAAGTACAATGTGTCCCGACCAAGGAGGTTTCAATTCAATTTAAGTAAACATTATCTGTGGTGAGCGCGCTGGTTCCGAGCCAATAGACCAATAAAAAACTTTTGTTTCTTTTATATTGCATTTTATTTAATGTAGCTACCTATAGCCATGACATTAAATAAAGTATTGTATGCAACTGCATATAATTAGGTATTAAAACACTCGTGTAATCTTATTTTGAAAAAACTACACTCATGTTTTAATACCCTTTATTATATGACAGTTGCATAAACTACTATTTTCTTAAATCTTATTGTAGCGATAACTACATAGTGAACATCGCGCCCAAAACAACCGGTCGGTAACGGTATATACAACTTTTCAACCTTAGCCTGACTTAGTCCTAATTCTGACTGGTCGAGAATCCTCCTCTTAGGTCATCTTTTCTTTATATAATTAAAGTTCAGTTGTATCCTTGTATTTATTTTGTTTAATCCTAACCAAAATTAGAAGTCTACATAGTAACAATTTTGATTTGAAACAACTTGCATTGTGAGCTTTATATAAAATATAAAGCTTTATATAAAATCCTCGAAAAATGGTGGATATATCTCAAAAACTACTGAACCGATTTTGATAAAACTTAGACTGATTTCGAAATTGGAATGTACTGTAAAGGATCTCGATATGACTTAGTATCCGTAAATTTGTTTTTACGAGAATTTTTTTTAAATACCTACTCGGAAGCCGAATATAATACTTAAATATCTAATTGCTACAATATCTCCTCATTTTTTGAAAACGGGTTTTTATTCTCTTGTAATTTAAATGTTTAATATAAACAGGTACACAGTTAAATTTAACGTTATTTCCAGGATGGTGCAACGCTCGCAGTGGTTGGGAAGTGGCAGGAATTGACTTCGGAGCCCTGTACTGTATCGAGGCCCCACCACTCTTGCAAACCCCAACTACTCCATATCTTCTTATACTTTGGGTTAATTTATTGGAAGGCGAACGATTTGGTATGTATTACAATAATTATATTTGACAGGCGAAAATTTGTATAAGAGTTCAATCGTCGTATAATCAATATTTCTTGAGCAGATTTTACAGATATGAACAATTCTTCAAGTTTATAATTGATGTGAATACCATAATTTAATGGTTTTCGAAGTAGAGCTTCTTTGGGAGCGGTCAAGTATTACGTAACGCGTTTTGGGAGGGGGGGTCCTTTTATAAAACGTTACGATGCGGGGCGCGGATTGAATTACGCGTTATTGTTAATATTATTTTCGACTTACACCACATAATAGTAACTAAAGAGACACAAGGTGGTCAGGAAACGTTTTACTATACTTGATTACAGTACTGTACTAGGGTACTGAAAAACGTTACGGCGAGATACATGGGGGGGGGGTCAATAATCTCCAAAAATTACGTTACGTAATACTTGAACGCTCCCTTTTACAATGATTAAAATTGTAATATATACTTGTTTATTATTAGTTTTTCTGAAAAATTACTAATAATCGCTAGCAAATGTTTCCTTCATTTAGCTTCACCAGTGACATTTCTTATTATATTATTGAAGTGAAACTTCTTTATCGAGGTTGGAAAAAAATTTAGTGTAACATTTTTGAAGTGAAACTTCTTTATCGAGGTTGGAAAAAAATTTAGTGTAACATTTTTTCGTTACGCGTCACATTTTTCGGTTACGCGCCATGTTGCTTTTTGAAGTCAAACTTCATTATCGGCGTTGGAATGAAACTTCTTTATCGACGTATTGGAGAAATTTTGTAGCAAATCGTCACGTTTTTCAATGATAGTAATAATTCTATTACAATTAATGAAATTCTATAATAATCTTCGTAGTAATAAGGTAAAATGAAATATTTGTATTCATGTCTATGATAATAAAAGCCTTTTTGTTAAACTTTATCTAATTTAACGAATTTCTGTAAAGTTGCATATAGTAGATCATTTTTCGAAAAATAAGATCATAAAGAAGTTTCACTTCTTACGTGTGTACACCTAGTACACGCACAATTTTTATTTTTTATATAAATTTCTCGAAAATTGCTCTTAATTACATTTAGAGCTAAGAATGTGAAATGGAATGTTATGTGATGTGGCTGAGTATATGCTTTCTTTCTAATACTGTCGAGGAAATAGGTACGTCTAATACTGTAACTATAATAACGTTACGTCAGTCCTATTTTACATGTATGTAGTCATAAAATAAAACTCATACAAATTGGCATTGCGAGAGTTTTAAAATAACCTTTGTTTGGTTTAGAACGAATAATTATTTGATATACTACGAGTACAAACGTGTAATGACATTTATCTTGTTATCTCTGATGCCATTTCGTGTAACCTTATTTTGCGGTGAATAAAAGCGCTATGTTTTTTTATATATGTATCTAAATGAATTCGTAAATAAATGATATTTTGGGGGCCTCATAGCCTAGCGGTCTTATTAAGTGGCAGCTAGGTGAGGGGTACCGGGTGCGATTCCCGGTTCGAGGGCAAGTTTTAATTTAATTTAAATTTGTTCTCGGCCTTTGGGGGGGTTGTGCGGTACCGGGCGAGTGCTTAAACCGTACATGAAGGACACGGTCGAATTTCTAAAGACAAGCACGAATTATAAAAAATCCTATACTTGGTAACTTGACGCTGGCTAATGCACAAATCATGCCAGAGCCATTAAAAAAAAAGATATTTTCCTTGTGACGTCATTGATATGAAAGTAAATGGCGATAGCAAATATAGTGATTCAAGTGGATCAGAATAAAAAATGGGTTTTATGGAGTTAACTTTAGTTTTATATATCCATAAAGGTATCGGAAATTTGTGTAATGCATAAGCGTATTTCAGGTTCCCCATACGCAATGCAAGTTCCTCGCGAAATTTCATATGAAGATCTTCAAAAGCTGATGTTGAAGGAGATGTGCCAAGTGGTAGCTGAACGGGTCCTGGAGACGGCCCAAGGCACTGATATCTTCAAGGCCAGAATTGCCGAAGCCCACCGGCCAAGGGATCCGGCGTATTTGTTGCCTGAGGTAATGTACATATTTGGATAATTTATGGTAGAATTTGTATAAGAGATTTTCTTGCTAAATATATAACAAACTTTTACTAATTTTACTACACGTGACGATGAATGATTGATTCGATTTTTTTGAGTTTAAATTGTTGAACATACCACGTTCAAACATACCTTACCTTTCCATAACGTCATGCACTACGGGTAGTTTAAATTAACACAAAAATTTCAAATTAAAAAAAAAACAGTTAAATTACCTTAAACATTGTACCTCAGTTAAATGCAATATCCAATATTCCCTCTTTTTGCCCTTTAATATTGTGTTAAATGTTAAAATCTTACAAAAATGTTTTTCTGTATTAATGGCTAGATAGAGCAAAAAAATCCAGATATATTCCAGTATGAACGGACTATAACTTGTAAAATTGGTTAGACCACATAAAGTTTAGTATATTTATGACTTAACAGTTGCCACACCCACTGTTTGCGCTGGACGTGGAACAGGCACTTTGCGCTCATGACAAGTACCCGCATTTGAGGCTGGAACTACTATGGGAACCCGTACATAGAGACAGGTATTTTAACCACCTAAGTTAATATACGTACTAAGGGTATGTTTCACAATGTACGGATAAGTTCTACATAAGTTCCAAATTAGCTATTTATTACTTATTGGTAGGATAAACACTATTGTTGCGCTTCACGACTGTCAGATAGCGCTATTCGTCACATAAAGTCCATCATAAATTATGAGTCCGATGAATTTCAAGTAGCACAATTTATCTTCCAAATAATTTATGTGTTGCATAGCTATTTGGTACTTTATCCATACATTGTGAAACAGACCCTAAATGTCTTAAATATCTTATGAATAATATGTTTATGGAGAAAATCGTTAGTTTATAGTTAATTATGCAACTGTTACAATTTGTATGTGTATAGAACCACGCGAGTGCTTTATCAATATATTATCTCAATGTTTGGGATTTTGCGATTAATAAAATATAGGAATTTTCCGGCAACGCCCTTGCGGGCCTTCTGGCAATGTGACGGTCCATGGGCAGCGGTATCATTTAAATAAAATTTCATAAAACAGAAACAAAACATAATGTCAATGTGATAAAATGTAAATGGCTCTAAAACCGGCGCAGGATTAGTTAAAATTTATGTGTCATTGGCTAAAAATAATAATGAAAACTTCTTGGTGATACAAACTTCGTTTAAGTGACTAGTGGCCAGTAGTACCATATATTTCCATGTTAATTTTTTTTTAAATTTATATTTCCGATTCGATGTTTTAAGGACGACATGTTGGAATAGCTTTGATGTTCATAATTTTCACCCGTATCGCATCGACGTACGTCGTTTCACAACTGAGCGTTTTTTAAGGTTTTTTAATTTCCGAACCAATTCGACTTTGGGTCCTTCAAAAAAAGGGCATATCAATTCATAAAAGGCCGGCAACGCACTCGCGAGCCCTCTGGCATTGAGTGTCCATTAGCGGCAGACTTAACGTCACATGAGCCTTCTGCCCGATTTCCCCCTGTTCTATAAAAACAAAAAATAATCGTTTAGCAATCAAATAGCTTTGGTAGAATGCTTGCTTGCCAGGATTATGACTTTCATTCAGAATAACGAATTTGTTATGTTTATAAAATGTATGTACCGATTTTAAATGCCCACTATTTCTGGAGTAGAATAATTTTAAGCAATTGATTTAATCTTAGTATAATACGCGAGTGGGGCGAAGCGTGTGAGGTGCACGTGTCGGCTGCAGGCGCGGCCGCTCCTTTAACGTTACACGCCTGTCTTGCTCATTATACGAGGGCGGAACATCTCGCCCAGGAGGATGCTTGGAGGTAATCTATTGAGTTCTAAATCAGTCGAATTCATCATCACACTAAAATAAAACAGCTATAGATAATAAATGGTAAAAAAAGTTAACAGATAATGCTTGACTTTAACTTTTCGATTATGGGTATCGAATGAGCGGAGAGTTTATTGCCAGTCCTTGTCCTTCCTACGCACTTGATTTTAGAACTGGCAGTAAATGTAAAATTAGAAGCATTTAGCACGTTCATAAGTGTACATTTGTTATCTAAATGAATACATTATGTTGAATTTGAATCGAAAAATATTTACTTTAGGAAGAGTTGGGACGTCTAATACTACGGTGTTTTTGTTATAATAATATATATTTTGAATATTTCTGAAGATTTAAAGTTTTTTTTTCTATTTTGCTAACGAAAACTGATAAATTAATATGATTAGAAATCAAATTACTTTTACTCCTTTCTTTTGCTGTCTTATAAACCTCTGTGTCGTTATTAAGGGACGTTTTCTAGAACGTTAATCACACTTAAATCTAGTCTCAAGAGCCGTCGAACCATTTTTTTCTGCAAGATGTTTGACAGCGCTCTTAATCTTTACTTAATCCTTTTCTGATTAAAACCAGTGTATTATTGTTTAATGTCTATATGTTGCTAGCCGATTTCATATCCTTCTAATCGGCCGAATTTCCCTTCACCGCTATCAGTATCATTTGTTCACATAATAAATTCCTTAGTACATAGCCAGGGTTCGAATACCGAATATTTTTTTGTCATCGCAAGCACAGCAACTAGGCGGAAAAGCTTAAAATTTCGTGTTAGACTTTAGTTAAGTTCATGATCAGCCTCCTGTGCCTGACACACGCCGTCGACTTTTTAAGTCTAAGGCAAGCCGGTTTCCTCACGATGTTTTTCCTTCACCGTTTGAACGAATGTTAAATGCGCACATAGAAAGAAAGTCCATTGGTGAACAGCCGGGGATCGAAGTTACGACCTCAGTGATGAGAGTAGCACGCCACTAGGACCACACTGCTCACATACATACATACCTCTCGATAAATTATAATTGCCTAATTTATTACTTTCGATATGGTTTCTAATAAATCCTGTTATCAAGACAGAAAGTCTTAATTAAAAATGCTAATGAAATACACATAACAACCTTCAATTTTAATGTCGTAATCAAAGCTAGGTCTAGACTGAATTGTGATATTATTAGATACATTTTATATAGCTATACCTAACATGGTCTGAGCTAGACCAACGCGTTATGAAATTGGAACGCGCGTAACCATTTACACTTTACGTTCCTAGCATTTTATATGGATAGGTGTTGCTTTTGAGTTATTTAAATAGTTTCATATTAATATAGAGGTAGTAATTAGTATAAGCATGATAGGATTTTTAATTATTTGATTTTTATTATGGCTTAGTCAGGACTCAATGCGGACCAAATAAATTTAACGATTGGTTTTTAATAATGTTTAATTCAAATTCATGAAATTTCTTTAAGCAGAAAATTGGAAAATAAGCCTGGTTTTTTTATTACAAATGTTCAGCTTACCTCTGTTTAAGGACAGATTAGGGAGCGTTCAAGTATTACGTAACGAATTTTGGGAGGGGGGTCCTTTTGTATAACGTTACGATGCGGGGCGGGGATTGAATTACGCATTATTGTTAATATTATTTTCGACTTTCCAGTACTGTACACCACATAATGGTAACTGTAACTCGTAAATGTAACTAGGTATAAAGAATCACTAGGTGGTCACGAAACGTTTTACTATTGGGTACAGAAAAACGTTACGGCGCGTTACTGGGGGGGGGGGGGGGGGGTCCAATAATCTCCAAAAATTGCGTGACGTAATACTTGAACACTCCCTAATCTGTCCTTTGATTTTCTATACCATTCTTAAAACATGTAAAATACTAAAATGGCAATGGTAAGAGAAGAAAGAGAAAAATGATGCTACCTTCATCCTCACTCTTAGGGATACAGTAGGTGAGGTGTTGGGAGGACGACGATAAGAAGGTTAGCCGGGATAGAATGTTATACAATAGACAGAACATTAATAATTGACAAATATTCTAGGTGTCCTCAATGCCAAAGATACATGCCGGTTGTCAAGACGCTCGGACTTTGGTCTCTTCCTGATATACTTGTTATACATTTGAAAAGATTTCGACAGTAAGTATAGATTCTTAAGAATATGTATATATAAAAACTAAAAACCAATTTAAGTTAATTAAATATATAGCTTATGATTTTAGTGCTTATCTATTTAAAATCAGTTACGTACAATAAGGGTGGGTTGTTTCAAACCATTTGCTATCGTAACTTACGTTCGTTAAAATTTGACAGACACGTATGAACTTTAACGTCTGTTAACTGTTAGCGTTGCTTCATTGTTAAAAAATGGTTCGTCATTGTTATGGGGTTGCCTGTTTGCGTAACGCTATTTTGACCTAATGTTTTATGGGAATATTTTTAGTAATAACAACATTGATAAAAACAATGTCATTTGATACATTCTGTCAAGTTTGACATCGATGTTTATTGTTGTGACTTGTGTACGAAAGGATAATTTTAAAAAGTGTTTAATTTTAATATAAATAATGGGAACCTTTTCGCCAAAGTAAGTATAAAGCTATTATTTTATTATTATATTGCATGAATTGTATATGCGCAAAGTATATATATTATATTGAAAGATATAGTTAGAAGTTATTTATTTACGTTACTCATTGACTTTCAGAGAACGTTCGGTAAATTTTGGAAAGAAGAGAAGGACTTTAGAAATTTAATAGAAAAACATAAACACATCTTATTTAATAAAAAGACAGACATTTCTAACAATTTGCAAAAAAAGAGGGCATGGTGCTTCGTGCAGAATTTAATGCCCTTTCAGATAATAAATATGAAAAAGAAATTTTTGAGTTGCGTGTTCAACATCTAAATGAGAAGAGGAAGAACGTGAATCATTTTTAAACTACAAGAAAAAAATACTTACTATTAATTATACTAAAAGGATGTAAGATTGTATGAAAGCGCCATTTCTAATGTAAAATGTATGAAAAGTGGTACTTATTTACCTTTACAATAAAAAATAAACTTACTATAACTTGATCAGAATTACTTGAAACTTAGTATAAAATGCTCTTCAAAATAATTAAGCAGTTGTGTGTATCAATGTTATAAAATTAGTGTAAAAAAATAATAAAAACTGTAAAAAAATAGATTTTTAAGATGAATTAATTCTTATGTGCATAGGCAGGCATAACTATGTAATGTTTTAATTCGGTAATAAAAAGGCATATTATTTTTGTCAAACATTTTATTTCTCCACCAAAAGCATGCAATAGCAATATATTATGTTAATCCTTCACCATATTTCACATCCATACCATAAAATAGTTATAATCTGAAAAAAAGACCGCTTTAAAATTATAATTTGAGATTTGTTTTCTTTGAAGTTAAAAATAATCTAAATATTAACATACCTTGCAAAATAATAATAATTAAACTATGTAAATCGCATATTAGTATAAAATTAAATTAAGAGAAAACTAGTTTTCTGTTTGTTTTCAATGAAGTTAACTTTTGGTCTAAATTAATAAAATCTGTAGGCTGTAATTCAGTTAGTAAAGGCATATTATTTTTGACAAATATTTTATTTCTTTACCAATAGGCATGCAATAAGCAATATAAACAGTATAGAATATCTTAGTCCTTCCCATACCACCCATACACCCATGCCATAAAAAGTTATATGTGAAATATAGGACATTTTTAATATTGAATTTGCAATTTATTTTTTGAAGTCAAGAATAATCGTAGTATTAACATACCTTGCAAAATAATTATTAATCAAACCATCTCTAATATTAAATTCAGAGGAAACAGAGTTTAGGAAGTACGAACTACGAAGTTACAAACCAAAATTTGACGATTACCAATGGTTCAAGCACTGGTTAACGTAAGCGTAACTTTTTAACGAACGTAAGCTGTCATAGATGGTGAATCAACACTTTTTTTGTCTAACGTTCGTTAGCGCCATATTTAACGGTTACGTGTCCGTCAAAATTTGTTGATGCAACCCACCCTTAGTCTTAATGTTATTCATTTCTATACGTACTATTTAAAGGGGAATTTAAAATACTCTTAAAATAAATAATTAAAATATTTAAAAAAAAACAGAGTTGTATCTTTGTTAAGAACAGTTTATTATATTCATGATCCTTCCCTTTGCTTAAAGCATAGATTAGCATATTAGATAGGCAACGGTTAGCAATGTAGATGACATACTAAGGGTATACTAGTGTGTATATATTTACTTTTTGTTATAGACAGGCTAAGGGTAGGACCAGCACGAAATTAACAACAATGGTAGAGTTTCCCCTAAACGACTTTGATATGACTCCACACTTGGTCCGAAAAAATACAACAGGTGCCGAATCACCTGGTAACTCTCGATCTCCAAGGCGGAGACTCTCCAAGACAATCCAAAATCCACAAGACAACATTTACGATCTCTATGCCATATGTTACCACCATGGAGACGACTTAGAAACGGGACATTACACGGCAGCTTGCAAGAACCCATACGACAACCACTGGTACAAGTTTGACGACTCCCGAGTGACGGCCGTGGATGATGAAAACGCATACAGCGAACTCGTCAACAACTCCGCTTACATGCTCTTCTATAGGCGGAAGAAACAGAACGTCATGCACTCCTGTTCCACAGAAGATAAGGAGCATTGGGCGCTGCGTATGCCCAGGTACAAACCGATCGAGACGCTCAACGAAGTGTCCGAAACAGATAAGAACGAATCGGACGTAGAAGAGAAAAGCGTAGACACGTCCACGAACAGTTCACCCGCGAAGCAAGTGATACAGTCGCCGACGCTTCAACGGCCGCTTATAGTGGAAGCAAACGATAGCGATTACGAAAACGAACAATCGGAGACGTATATACACAAGGACGTGCACGTTAATCCTAAAATGACGCCCGTGGATTCGCGAAGACCAAAATCTGTGGATATCCCTTCCAGGCCAAGTGTGTCCCCGTCGAATAATAGAAGCTTCGACAATTCCCCCTTAGTCGCGAGTATAAATGAGGTGGAATATCCGACAACGGAAGACCTCATGTTGTCTATGTTCCAAGAGTCGAAATATATTGTACCGAGGCATCATATCAACGGGGAATCTCATAGAACAGGTTGGTGATAATAAATGATTGTTAATTCAAATAATAAATACTAAATGATTCTTAATTAAATTAAAAAAAATATTTGAATAACGTGTTGATTATTTACAAACGGGTATGAGGCTCACCTGATCTTAAGTGATATCGCCGCCCATGGACACTCACATTGCTAGAAGGCTCGCAAGTGCGTTGCCGGCCTTTTAAGAATTGCTACGCTCTTTTACGCTACCCTTAGTCGAATGGGTTCGAAATTAAAGTAGAAGAATTTGTCGTCTTTTTTAAGTAGGTTTTCTTTAAATTACAATTTTGGAAAGTAAAATTATAAAAATTTATGAAAATTTAACCAGCGACCATGTTCACTCTATTTTCTATAAACTGAAGATTAACTATCAAGTATTTTCAAACTGTTTAAGTTTATTTATACATTAATAATTATGTTTTTAGCAGAAAAGCCATCTGTATGGAAAACCAGAATATCGACGTGAGAGCAGTTGAGCAGATGCCACTCACAAATTAGTTTTCATTTGGCCTTAGATCTGGTAACTTGTAGTTGACATTGACGCCACAATTCGCTTTAAACCATAGATATATAATGGACTAAGAACACTTGATAATAAGCGATTTTTAACTAAGGAAGGAGTTTTATGCTATAACTGATAAAGCTTGCATTTGCTGTTGGACACACAAGGCAGCTAAGGCGTATTTCGTAAAATTCAGTGGTGCTAATTCTGATTAATTCTGATCTAGTAAAACCTTTTTTTAAGTTCATATTTTTTTGTAAGTATTTTACTATGCGAGATTAACGGCCTTTTAAAGCGTGGACTGGAGTTAGTGATTGTTCTCTTTATATGATAATAAAATCTTATTTATTTAATTCTCGTTTTATAATAAGGCCATATACAGAACTAGTATGAAGACTTGCTTCTTATTAATTTATCCTACTGTTCAGTCTATTATTATATCTATGGGTTACCAAGACAGTCTTATTTATAATCAATAAATTAGGGTTGGCAATAGCGATAATAATTTTTAACACCGAGGCGTTACCTCACCATGGCAACCCTGCACGACTGAAATGTGAAAAGTTGTAAACTCATTACAGAGTACGAGCTTCCTTAAGTCATTTCAATTAAGGTGTATTTAAAATTGTATCTCGAGCCTAATCATTGTATATTGCTTAGCTGCATACACGGTATTAGATATCAGTTGCTACAAGTCGTAGTTTTAATTTTTATAGATAAAAGTTTGTCAAAAGGCCTATAAGAATAACCAATAATATAGAACTTAGGGATTAATTCACAGGAGAAAAGACTTTTTCTTGCTTCCAAAATTCGTTTTAGACAATTAAAATTGAGTTTAGTAATATAATAGTATATTAATGAAATTATTCTGATTTACGTACTTTACTCTCGCTTGAATGTGATTTGTCTAACGCTGTTGACCAATCACAGACGTTATCCGATGGTTAGTTTTTTTTTAATTGAATTGCCCTGGCCCCCTAAGTTTTCTGGTCCCAGCGAACACTGAAATCCAGACGTGTCAATACCTTAATACAGTGTATGCAGCCTATAGATGTATAATATAAACAGCATAAACTTGTAATTACTTTAGGTAATACTGTGCCTTCGTTCTAGAGAAGTTGTGATTTTAAAATATTTAACACCTCAATCGAAGATTAGACATTGATAAGCTATTTGCAGAAACAATGTATATACTGTGGCCTTTATAGTTTTGGTATTGGATTATGTAATCTTTGTGATCTTGAATGGAATTGGCATTCCGCACTTGAATCGGTACATAAGTTATCTAACTTAGAGGTTTCTACTATATTCTTTTAATCTACAGTGCAATGCTTTAACAGGTCATTTAAAAGTCTACAAACTTGGCCCACAATTTGACGTATAACGGTGCGTACAGACTATATAACATAACATGTTATACAACATTGCTATATAACATATTTCAGATAATGTGGACACTGAATGTTATAAAACATGTTATAATAACAAGTTATTGATATGTACCACAATGTTATATTGTTATGTTATTGATATGAACCCAGCATCTAGGTTTTTTTGTTTTTCTTTTGTTATTTAAAATTACAAAAGTCGCTGCCGCAGCCAGCAAAACGTCCTCTTGTGTCGACATTGTGGATAGCACTGGAGAATAGGGATGTGAAAAAATAATCGATTATTAAAAAAATCTATTAAAATCGATTTTTTTACGCGATTTTTATATTTAAAATAATCGATTATTGATCGAATTGAAAATAAATCATAGTCGATTTTTCCACTGCCACCTCCCGACATTATGTTTGGTCTTTTTTCGGTCTCGAACTATTACGGATATTTGATATACATCGATGTTTAGAATGCGATACATTGAATACGATTCTTTGAAGATGTATTGATATACTCGATGCATTGATGTTTTTTTGTAAAACATTGAAAGGATGATAAAACCAGTTAATTTTAGGTACAAAGACTCAAGTTTGAATGGAACACTATAATTTAAAAGTAAAATAAATTTATTCAGCAACACAAGATAACATACAATAAAAAAGACAACAAAAATACTGCAATTTGCTACTGAAAAGGCATAACTAAGCATTTATCAAATTTCACCTAAAATCTATCAAAACGAGATTAAGTTAATTTCGATTTTGATTATTCTTAAACGTTAATTTGTGTTTATAATTTCTATTGTTTATTTTTCAGTAAAAAAAACCATGAAAAATAAGATATTTAGGGTGATTATTTTGAAATTAATTCAAAAATTAGGAAAAAATCGATTAATAAAAAAATCTATTATTTTTAAAGAAAAATCGATTATTTATTATTTATTTACAGCCTTATATCAGAAATACTAAATATATACATTATAACTGTTATTTTTCTTAATCTACGATAACTGATTCTGTGTGCCTACGGGCAAAGGCCTCCCCCATTGTCCTCCATTTTTCCTTATTGTATACCAATCTCGTCCAGGTTTTAGTCTTTCCTGCCATTTCCATGATTTCATCGGCCCACCTTTTAAATTGCCTACCTCTGTTTCTTTTATGGCCTCTTGGTTGCCATATTTATTAATCGATTAATAAAAATCCATTTTTTATGCAGAATGTCACATCCCGACTGGAGAGACAAACGACAATGGTTATATAACATTGTTATATTGCATTGTTATTCTAATGTGTACAGTATTGTTTTATGTTATAATGTTGAATAACAAGGTTACATACTGTGGACGTGTTATAAAACACAAGTTATATAACATGTTACATAGTCTGTACGCACCCTTAGGGCATCCTCAAAGTCGTATCAAACTGGTGTCAAATGTTTTCGATATACACTATAGTTTTCGTTAACTCGAAACTTCAATCCTCCGTAACGGTCATATGAACATCGCATCGCTGATTTCGTTCAAGACTACGATTATAAGATTGGTTCATGATTTTGTATATTCGAAACGCAGGAAAATGTGTGAAATGTGATTTTTTAATATAAATTTTATTAAAAATTGATTTTTATAAAAGACAATCGAGTTAAGGGTAATTGTAATGTCTGCACTGCAATTCATTATTTATGTCTACGTTAAGCTTTATAGACCTCAGAGTGTATTGAAATTGCGTCTCTATTACTATGTATTAAGGTGCAATTTATTACACGTTAAGACGCTATAAAGCCTAAACTAATATCAGTATAACTAGTCTAATTACAATATTATTGTCACTTAACATGACTGAAGTAGTAATGAAGGTACTAAAAAAATTTATTTCCTATTCTACACTCTTTTGATAATTTGTGTCGATGCTGAAGTTTTTCAGACAAAAATGGTATTAAAAGTATATTAAATTTTAGGATAATTATTACGTAATGTGGACGTGTAGTGACAATCGTATTGTTAAGACTTAAATTTTATAGTAACCCTGCAGCTTTATTTATGTTTTTTTAAACAATCAAAAAGGCTCTCAATTTAGTGTTAGTGATAAACGACCAATTAAACTCATATTTATTAACTAATATACAGCTATATACTCGAAATTATAGGATTTTGTAGAAGTTAAATCTCAGGTTACCTTTTAAAGGAAAAGTACTGGACAAGATGTTTGCAAAATTTCGATAAGACGAACTCCAACTGGTTCATCAGCTCCATGAATTTAAATTCATGGTTTGCTTAAGCAGACGGTAGTACTACGCAAAGTATTTGTTGAAAGAATGCAGTGCCTCTGGTGGTGATGCGGGAAACTAATACACAAATTAGTGAAATTAATAGATCGAACACCTTGTCTAGTAAAATTCGATGGTTTCGCTTTCATACTACGGTTTATTATAAAATCAAAAATGTGTATTGATTTTACTATCCACACATAGTTAATAAGTTATAATAAAGAGTAAAAAATAGTGAAATTGTGTATCTAATAAATTATAATCACCAAATTGTCGTGGTTGTGTTATCTGTTAAATGTTTGACAATTGACATCTATTAAAATAAATCCGTTGTGTGTGAGTGAAACGGTACCATATAATATAAGATGCGGTCGGTTTATCTCAATTGTATTAAGTTCGTTGTTTTAATTTAAAAATGTTTATTTTTTATCTTTATCACGTTATGTTTAAATAAAAGTGTTATGTGCACCATGTATTGTTTAATTTTAACCTATCCTTCATTTAAACAAATTTTAGGGGCCCAAAGACCGAGCACGTTTTTACCCTAAAGACAAAATATCAAATAAACGGACTGTTTAAAATGTTTCTCCCCTATGCGTGCATTATGGCGCTACATAGTCCATACAAGTGTTCGTTAAACGAGATAACTAGAGTATTGCAGTTTGTTATTGTTTCGTATAAATAATATGAAAATGTTCGGTAATTTAATTTAACCTTACTATATCCCATCTTAGGTCATTTTCGAAAGGTTTTAAAGTATGACACAAATGCGAAAACAAGAAAGCCAACACAACATAACCTTTAACAGTACTTTAATCTCGGTAAATAAATATCCCAGATTAAACACTGGCTATAAAATTATTGTATGGTAGAGAAAACTTTTCGAAATTACCAATAAAAACAGGACAGGATAGCCTATACTAGTGGCTGTCAAATTTTATTTCATATACAGAAACTTAATGTAAAATAAAAGAATACCCCTTTAAATCCTAAACCTAATTACTTAATAATATATTGTACATGGCTATTGCTTATATTTAGACAATATACTATGAATGCTATGTACTATACATACGCATAATGTTAATACTAGGAACAAACGCAGGCTGAAATTTCCCCGTATCTAAAATTAGTAATTCTTTTTTGGGAAAAGGGATACTTTTCTTTAATATAATCCCAGAGACTTTTATCTCTTTAGCCTTTTAATAAAATTAAGAAAAATATTAAAGAAAAGCTGTGTTAAGAGGCTTAATATAAAGTTAACGATTATCTAGTTGATAAAAGGGCCTGGGACTAGTGCTAGACAGGCTACTTCTAAT